GCGCCAGGAGGGCGGGATCTGGACACCCCAGGTGAGCCCCAGGAGGGCGGGATCTGTCTGTCCACCCCAGGCGAGCGCCAGGAGGGCGGGATCTGTCTGTCCACCCCAGGCGAGCCCCAGGAGAGCAAGATCTGTCTGTCCACCGCAGGAGAGTGGGATGTGCCTGTCCACCCCAGGTGAGCCCCAGGAGAGCAGGATCTGTCTGTCCACCCCAGGTGAGCTCCAGGAGGGCAGGATCTGTCTGTCCACCCCAGGTGAGCCCCAGGAGAGTGGGATCTGTCTGTCCACCCCAGGTGAGCTCCAGGGGGGCGGGATCTGTCTGTCCATCCCAGGTGAGCCCTAGGAGGGCGGGATCTGTCTGTCCGCCACAGCAGACTGCTGGACACTTGCAGCTCACGCACCCTCCCCCACACACTCTGAGTCACTGAGTCATGTCTTGTCCGGATAAGTCCCAGAAACTTGGATCTGCACACCCCTGCCCGCCCCTCCTCCTCTCCTCCCAGGCCTCCAGTCTGACTCAGTAATCACCCCGACAGCCCCATCTCCTTCCTGTCACACAGAGTCCTAGCTGCCCCAGCCCTCTCTCCACACACTAGATGTTGAACAAACCCCCTTGTCTTGCCCACTGCTCTCCCTATCTCTCCCCAAGGAGTCATCCAGTCGATTCCGACTCATAGCGACCCTAGAAGATGGAGTAGAACTGCCCCACAGGGTTTCAAGGAGCAGCTGGTGGATTCGAACTGCTGACTTTTTTGGTTAGCGGCTGAGCTCTTAACCACTGTGCCACCAGGGCTCCTATCTCTCCCCAGCCACTTTGATTTTGTCCGTGGGTGGTGCAAACAGTTGAACACTCAACTACTATCAATGCAATCCATCACATAAATAAAACAAAAGACAAGAACCACGTGAGCTTATCAACTGATGCAGAAAAGGCATTTGACAAAGTCCAACACCCATTCATGACAAAAACGCTCAGCAAAATAGCCTTAGAAGGGAAATTCCTCAACATAGTGAAGGGCATTTATACAAAGCCAACAGCCAACATCACCCTAAATGGAGTTTGAAAGCATTCCGCTTGAGAACAGGAACCAGACAAGGATGCCCTCTATCACCACTCTTATTCCACATTGTGCTGGAGGTCCTAGCCAGAGCAATTAGGCTAGAAAAAGAAAGAAAGGGCATCCCAATTGGTAAGGAAGAAGTAAAAGTATCTCTAATTTGCAGATGATACGATCTTAAACACAGAAAACCCCAAAGAATCCACAAGAAAACTACTGGAACTAATAGAAGATTTCAGCAAAGTATCAGAATACAAGATCAACATACAAAAATCAGTTGGATTCCTCTACACCAACAGAGAGAACTTCGAAGAGGAAATCAACAAACCAATATCATTTACAACAGACCCCCAAAAGATAAAATACTTAGAGACGTAACAGACCTATACAAAAAAAAAAACTACGAGACACCACTGCAAGAAACCAAAAGAGACCTACATTAATAGAAAAACCTACCTTGCTCATGGATAGGAAGACTCAACATTGTGAAAATGTCAATTCTGCCCAAAGCGATCTACAGACACAATGCAATCCTGATCCAGATTCCAGCGGCATTTGTTAATGAGATGGAGAAACAAATCACCAACTTCATATGGAAACGGAAGAGGCCCAGGATAAGTAACTAAGAAGAACAAAGTGGGAGGCCTCACACTACCTGATTTTAGAACCTGTTATACCTCCACAGTAGTCAAGACAGCCTGGTACTGGTACAACAACAGATACATAGACCAATGGAACAGAATTGAGAATCCAGACGTAAATTCATCCACCTACAAAGCAGCTGATATTTGACAAAGGCCCAAAGTCCGTTAAATGGGGAAAAGACAGTCGCTTTAACAAATGGTGCTGGCATAACTGGCTATCCATCTGCAAAAACACTGAGACAAGACCCATACCTCACACCATGCACAAAAACTAACTCAAAATGGATCAAAGACCTAAATATAAAATCAAAAATAATAAAGATCATAGAAGAAAAAATAGGGACGACGCCAGAAGCCCTAATACATGGCATAAACAGAATATAAAACATTACTAACAATGCCCAAGCACCAGAAGAGAAACTAGATAGCTGGGAGCTCCTAAAAATCAAACACTTATGCTCATCAAAAGATTCACCAAAAGAGTAAAAAGACAACCTACAGACTGGGAAAAAATTTTTGGCTACGACAAATCCAATCGGCGTCTAATCTCTAAAATCTACAAGATACTGCAAAACCTCAACCACAAAAAGACAAATAACCCAATTAAAAAATGGGCAAAGGATACGAACAGGCACTTCACCAAAGAAGACATTCAAGCAGCTAACAGATACATGAGGAAATGCTCAGGATCATTAGCCATTAGAAAAATGCAAATCAAAACTCCAATGAGATACCATCTCATCCCAACAAGGCTAGTATTAATCCAAAACACACGAAACAATAAATGTTGGAGAGGTTGTAGAGAGACTGGAACACTTATACACTGCTGGTGGGAATGTAAAATGGTACAACCACTTTGGAAATCGATTTGGCGCTTCCTTAAAAAACTAGAAATAGAAGTACTACATGATCCAGCTACCCAGCTCCTTGGAATATATTCTAGAGAAATAAGAGCCGTCACACGAATAGATATACGTACACCCATGTTCACTGCAGCACTGTTCACAATAGCAAAAAGATGGAAACAGCCTAGGTGCCCATCAACAGACAAATGGATAAACAGATTTTGGTATATTCATACAATGGAATACTACGCAATGATAAAGAACAACGATGAAGCCGTGAAACGTCTCATAACATGGAGGAATCTGGAAGATATTATGCTGAGTGAATTTATCCAGTCGCAAAAGGACAAAT